CATTTCGTGCAATTAGCAATTGCTTATTTCTTGTTGTTATAATGATTTTGCTTCCACAACCAAACCACTCACAGCCACCTGCCTGTTGTTCTAACTGTTCAAATTCATCAACATCGTCAAGAACCAATAAAACCTTTTTGTTAGAGAGTCTATGTTTAATTATAGATTTCCCTTCGTCAACACTGCCAAACCTCACCTTCTTTTCCTCAAGAATTTCTGATAGAAGTGTTTGTTGAAGGCGGACAATGTTAAAAATTAGCACAAACCTCAAAGCACGTGACATGCAAAGTTCGAGTCCTCTCCATTTACTCTCTCATTTGTTTTATTTATTTGTTGTTTCTTTTTCTCTGGTTTACCAAGTCAAAAGACGTGAGAATTGTTCACGTCGGTTTGCGATTATCTAGGATTAGTTGTTGCTAAATAAGGGGACTACTATTAGGATATCTAAGTAGTTAGAGAAAAATATGGGAATCTAGTTCGTGGGTCAGTGCTATATATGGACCATGATGTAATCGATTGAGATATACAGAAATTCATAAAATATTCCCATAAGATATCACCAGTCTTCACTGTTTGTCGTTCTCCGTCTTATTTGTTTTATGGTATCAGAGCCAGGTCGTGAGTCAAGTTTTCTCGTTGTTTGCTGTCATGGAAGCTTCAAATGAAGGAAGTGTTCAGAACAGTATGGAGAAGCTTGTAGGCAACAACTACAAGTACTGGAGAACGTGCATGGAGGCATATCTTCAAGGTCAGGATCTATGGGAGTTGGTGGTCGGTGAAGATACAATTCCGTCTGACGTACCTGAGAATGCCGAGTCACGACGCAAGTGGAAGATCAAGTGTGGGAAGGCTCTTTTTGCTTTGAGGACATCCATCAGCAAAGAGTTCATTGATCATGTCCGTGATGTCACCTCTCCGAAGGAAGTATGGCAGACACTTGAAAGGATATTCACCAAAAAGAACACAGCAAGGTTACAGTTATTGGAGAATGAATTAGCAATGCTGACTCAAGAAGGCATGTCTATTTCGGAATATTTTTTAAGAGTTAAAAACATTTGTGCTGAGATTTCAGAGATTGATGCAAATGAGAAAATAAGCGAATCACGTTTACGTCGCTATCTCATACGTGGTTTGAAGAAAGAGTACGGGCCCTTCGTCACCTCCATACAAGGGTGGCCAACGCAACCCTCTGTTGAAGAGTTAGAGAATCTGCTCTCTAACCAAGAAGCTCTGGCGAAGCAAATGGCAAAGAACCTTGAGACTGATGCCGTTCTCTTCTCCAAAGGGAAATCTAGCACAAGGACTGTATCAGGAAGTAAGAACAAAGAAGAAGACTTGGGTGCAGAAGAAGATGGTGACACGCACGTTAAGAAGCCCATTACATGTTTTCGGTGTGGAAGGACTGGACACATAAAGAAGTATTGTCGAGTAAAGATCTCTAAGGCCAACGTTGCATGCACCAGTGAAGAGGATGATCAACTCAAGTGGGACCATTGTTTTACGGTTGAGGCCATTGAACAGAAGTCAACTCAAGCGTTTGCAAACTATGTATACAATAAAGACGGAGAATGGATCGTCGACTCAGGTTGCTCTCACCACGTGACCGGAAACGAAACTCTGCTCTCAGAAGTGCATGAACATCGTGGAGATCAGGTCATTGTTACTGCTGACAACTCCACACACCCAGTAACAAAAGAAGGTGTTGTGATAATCGATGTAGCCAATGATGCACACTCAAAGGGCTTTAAGTTAGATGATGTTTATCATGTTCCAGGTTTGACTAAGAACTTAGTCTCAGTTCCTCAGATTACTGATTCAGGGAAATATGTGTTGTTTGGCCCCAAGGATGTTAAAATACTTGATAATGTAAAAGAAATCTTTGCTGATGTTATTTTGTCTGGTGAGAAGAAAGGTGCTTTGTATGTTATGACAGCAGGAGAAGCATACGTGAAAAAGACAAGCCAGGTTGATAATGCCGCAATTTGGCATGCTCGGTTGGGTCATGTGGGTTACCAATTGTTGCAGCAAATCTCATCAAAACGGTTGGTAGACGGAATGCCCGTTTTAAAGAATGTTCGTGAAGATATAATTTGTCAAGGTTGTCAGTTCGGCAAATCTCATCGTCTTCCTTTCAAAAGATCATCAAATAGACGTACTATGATGTTCGATTTGGTCCACACAGATTTAATGGGACCAACAAAAACTCCGAGCTGTAGTGGGCAGCGATATGTCATGGTGTTGATTGATGGTTATTCGAGATTCACATGGGTGAAGTTTTTGAAGGAGAAGAGTGAAGCACTGTCAAAGTTCAGAGAGTTCAAAGAGGCCATTGAAAGGGAGTTCGGGAAGAAGATAAAATGTCTTCGAAGTGACAACGGTGGAGAATATATGTCTGAGGACTTCTTCAGATATTGTGATGATAATGGCATTCTCCGTCAAATGACTTGCCCGGACACTCCGCAGCAAAATGGAGTCGCAGAAAGGAAGCTTGGGCATCTTACTTCGGTCTGCCTTTCTTGGCTGCATGGTAAGAATCTTCCTCGGGCACTTTGGGCGGAAGCAGTTCAGAGTGCATGCCATGTGACAAATAGATTGCCCCCTTGGCCAGGTACACAGAAATCTCCTTTTGAGGTCCTATACGGTGAAAAGCCAAATGTAAACTACTTTAGAGTCTTTGGTTCTATATGCTATGTTCATGTTCCCAAAGGCAATAGAACCAAACTTGACCCAAAAGCAAGGAAGTGTGTTTTTGTTGGTTATGATTCTTGTAGGAAAGGCTGGAGATGCATGGATCCGAAGACCAAGAAATTCACCATTTCTAGAGATGTGGTGTTCGATGAAGTAACAGCACCTTTCTCTGCTCCAAAACTCGTGGCTCTTGGTGATGACGAAGACAGTCTAGAGCTTTTATTCCCTGAACAAAGTTTGCGAACACAGAATGGTGAAGAGGCAGAAAATGAGTCACAAACCGAAAATACAGAGCACAGTGAACAAGTTGTCAGAAAATCGACGAGAGAGAAGAGGCAACCACATTACCTAAAGGATTATGAAGTTAATAACTGTTCTGTGACTGCATGCTTCTTTATAGGAGGCCTGACTACAGAAGAACCAACAAACTATGAGGAAGCTAAGGGAAATCCAGATTGGGAACATGCAATGCAAGAAGAAATTGATGCTTTGAACAAAAATGAAACATGGGACTTAGTGCCCAAACCAGAAGATTGTGAACCAGTCACGTGCAAGTGGGTGTTTCGGTTGAAGAAGAAGTCCGACGGCACCATTGACAGATTTAAAGCTCGCCTGGTTGCTCGTGGTTTCTCTCAAAGTTATGGACTAGACTATGAAGAGACATTCAGTCCAGTTGCAAAGATGGTGACAGTGAGAACCATTATTTCACTTGCTGCTTTTAAAGGGTGGAAGCTGTGGCAGCTTGACGTGAAGAATGCGTTCCTGTATGGAGAATTGGATCGAGAAGTATTTATGCAGCAACCCCCTGGCTTTGTTTCAAAGAACTTCCCAGATCATGTGTGTCGCTTAAAGAAGGCACTTTACGGTCTAAAACAAGCTCCACGAGCTTGGTATGGTAAAGTAGCTCAATACCTCTGCTTCTGTGGATTTAGAATTTCAAATTCAGACTCCAGTTTGTTTATAAAGTCAGAGTCAAACGTACATCTGCTTGTGTTGCTGTATGTTGATGACATGATAATAACCGGGAATAATGAGTCAGAAATTTCAAACTTAAGGGACAACTTGTCCGTCCGCTTCGACATGAAAAATCTGGGGGAGGTTGGTTGCTTCCTCGGCCTAGAAGTGGAAAAATTTAACCAGGGGTATTTTGTTTCTCAACAAGCCTATGCAAGAAGCCTCCTGGAACGTTTTCGCATGGGGGAGTCAAGAGAGAAAGCCACTCCGATGGAACCCAATTTGAAATTGAAGAAAGAAGAAGGGAAGCTGCTAAAGGATCCAAGAAAGTTCAGACAACTTGTTGGAAGTTTAATTTACTTGACCATCACAAGGCCAGAGATTTCATACGCGGTAGGAGTCATTTCTCAGTTCATGCAAGAACCGAGAACTCCTCACTTGGAAGCAGCCAAGAGGGTCCTGCGTTATGTGAAGGGAACCGTTGGATATGGGCTCTTATATAAAAAGTGCGACAGCTTTTTATTAAGTGGATTCACGGATGCAGATTGGGCCGGAGATATAAATGACAGACATTCAACATCAGGCTACTGTTTCAGCACTGGATCAGCTGTAGTTTCTTGGTGTAGCAAGAAGCAAGATATAGTGGCTTTGTCTAGCACTGAGGCCGAATATGTGGCAGCAACAATGGCAGCGCAGGAGTGTGTTTGGATGAAGAGGTTAATCGTGGATGTCCTACATGAAGTTGATTATGCTGTGCAAATAGGATGTGACAATGAAAGTGCAGTCAAACTTGCGTTGAATCCTGTCTTCCATGCAAGGACAAAACACATAGAGGTGCGCCATCATTTCATACGTGAGAAGGTCCTGAGTGAAGAAGTTAAGCTGATAGGTGTACGCACCGATGCTCAAGTAGCAGACATATTCACCAAAGCATTAGTGAAGCCAAAGTTCCAAGGTCTTCGAAGTGCTCTCGGAGTTGTTGATAGGAGGTTTGCACTAAGGGGGAGTGTTAAAAATTAGCACAAACCTCAAAGCACGTGACATGCAAAGTTCGAGTCCTCTCCATTTACTCTCTCATTTGTTTTATTTATTTGTTGTTTCTTTTTCTCTGGTTTACCAAGTCAAAAGACGTGAGAATTGTTCACGTCGGTTTGCGATTATCTAGGATTAGTTGTTGCTAAATAAGGGGACTACTATTAGGATATCTAAGTAGTTAGAGAAAAATATGGGAATCTAGTTCGTGGGTCAGTGCTATATATGGACCATGCTGTAATCGATTGAGATATACAGAAATTCATAAAATATTCCCATAAGATATCACCAGTCTTCACTGTTTGTCGTTCTCCGTCTTATTTGTTTTAGACAACACCCTGATACGTCTTTGATACTTCTCTGACATCAAACAAAAAACAAGCACCTTCAAAATGATAAAAGACTGAATAATAGAGAGCTTTTGCAAGGGTTGTTTTGCCAATTCCGCCAGTTCCATGAATCCCCAACATGCAGACGCCTTTGTCAGATTTATTTATAAGTGAGATCACTTCTTCTATCCGAGGCTCAAGTCCAACGATGCAATCAACGTTATGGAAGCGTTTAGGTGGCAGCATAGAATATGCATGTTCCACGATCCTTTCAACAAATCCAGATTCACATCTGCAAAAGAGCATATTTACTTTTCACTATGAAGATTATTTATCTGCGAATAATGTCTTCTACTGTATTTCTTTCCTCTTTTAATACATAGTTATCAATAGAATATTGTTTCAGTTCTTTAAAAAAAAAAAAAAAAGTAGAGGGAATGAGAAGTGAATAATCATATAATTCCAACATTAATAAGGTCTCTAAATTTTGTAATCCCATCTCTATCTAAAGGTTTCTAAGTTCAATTGTAAAACTATGAAATATTTTCTGCTCAAATGACACCGTCTAAGTAAATCAAAAGACTCAGGCTGAAAGTTGTAAATTCAAAAGAATAAAACAAAGCCCAAAATTAAACTTTAAATGCCCACAATAAAATTACTCTTAGGACCCCAAGTATGCAGAGATTGACCTTTGTGTGCTATATTGTCAGCAACTATTAAGTACTAACAAAGAATTAATAAAGTTCATCAGCAGAAGGCAATAATGGTGCAAACAAACCTACCCGTCTTCGAAAAGCCATGTTGATGATAAACTAGCAGCTTCGAACAAAGCAGAACGCCATTTGCACACTTTCTCTAGGTCATCTCTATACCTATCTTCAAGAGCAGCCCTGGCTTCTTCAAAGCTATTTCTCTGATATTGAACATCCAATAAATCCACTTTGTAAAAGATGGCCATAACCAATTGATTCTTCTGTTTCTTGCACCAGATGATGTGGGTGAGTTCCTCTAGGCACCATGTGGAAGTAGCATAGTTTGTAGAGAAGACAATAAGGGAAATCCTTGACCTCTCAATGGCTTTGATAACGGCAGGTGCGATTCGTTCCCCTTTCCCAAGCTTCTTGTCATCAATGAAGGCGTTGATCCCCTTACGTCGTAGAGAATTGTAAAGAGGCACAGTGAAGGCGTGGCAAGTATCTTCACCTCTGAAACCCAGGAAAACATCATATCTGTACTTAGTTTTGCTGGTGAAGCCACTTGAATCGCCATGTATATGGCTGCAACAATCGCAGTGGTGAAGCTATGTTCTGAGGTCTGAAACTAAGGTTTTGATCATTCAAGATGGTAGGAAATTTGTTAGAAGGTTCAGGTCCATCAATTTCATTGGTTTGTTCACTTGTTATGATCTCTGAATGGCGCAGAGGATGTTGCCTTGTTTTTGTTTGACCCTTTTTCTTTTTTTACTTTTATAACGGTGCGGCAGACGATCGATCCTTTTTTTCCTAGTTTGTTTTATCACAGTATTTCATATTTTGTACTACTATATATTTTGGATTAGAATAGACTCGAGTTTTATAAAAACATAAAGAATAAAGTGTACGCAGGTAAGGTTTTAGAGTAAGGGAAAATTGTTGGGGAAAAAAAGAATAAGGGCAAATTATTTTGCAAATACCTATGTTTTCCCATAATTTTTAACTAGAATTTACTCTCCCGTGCGATGCACAGGAAGAATTTATGATTAGTTCCAATTCATTGTAACCTCCATTACCACAAAAATATCAACACAACATATTACATTCCTTATACAAACAATGGTATTGTAATTGCCATGAAATAAATTTGCCCATTTAATAACTTTATGTTTACTTATTTAAAATCAAACTTTACCAACAACCCCCATTCTTAAATAGCATATATGGGAACAATTATATCACATTTATAAAGATATTTTACTGCATACCATACTTTCTATTTCACTCGAACGGTGAGCACTCAATATATTTAGTTACATGCTATAAAAAAAAAAGGTATCTGGTCACAATATACTTAAAGTTTATTATTCTAAGTTTAAATCCCACAATGAAATATAATAATCACTATCATAAAAATCGTTCCAATTAACCTATTATTATGAAATACGTAGCGGTTGATTTTACTTCTCTCTTGCAATGCACAAGGACATTAAAATTTAAAAATTAATAATATTTAAATGTTGAATATTACAAATGCACGACCTCGTAGGAAAGTTTATTATTGATGTCAATTAAAAATAGTTTGCATTTAAAAAAAAATACCGAGCTAATATAATTAGAAAGGATCAGATCCTTACATTAGAATTATCTAGGAAAAGATAGCCGCGCAGAGGAGTGATGTGCCATTATTACCATTAAGTAATGATAATAATCTCAAATCCAATTGAGGATCGATACACACTAATATGAAAAAAGAGGTATTTATGTCTATATGCATGAAAAGGGTTAGAAGCAAAATGGCATAAGCAACTATTTCACACATTTCAGTATTCTTCATGCAATTAGTGTTAGCAAGTTCTCCACTCGATGTAGCTTTGGCAAGCTTGGCTGCCATCTTATTTTAGATTCAAATCCAACTACAAATAGAACACTAAAATTGAACTGATGATTCACAAGGGGATGCGAATGAGAAGTAAAGCATCCCGTAGGCCAGCAATCATTCAGCTTCAGGTAGCCACAAAAAGTAGCAAAATATGCGTCCATCAAAACAATCTTTATCTTCATTCACCCAATAAGACTCTATTTGCACGGGACTCCTTACAAATTATTGCACCATATTAGTCAAGCGGCAAAACAGAATAGAGAGGATATACCCAAAAAAAACACCAGCCACACAAAAATTTCTCACATGCATTTTAACAAACACCTATCAAGCAAACATATGTTAGAGCATGTTATATTCTATCCTTGCCCCACATTTCAATCTAGAAGAACCAAGCATAGGACAACATAAAAATTAAGTTAGCTAAATATAGCAAAGTGAGATAGCAATTTAACAACAGAAGAACTAAACCCATAGGAATCAAGCAGAAGATTTGTGTGGAGAGCACTGGTCGTGGCCTTATTGGTCTGCGTCAAATCTCGCCATATTTGATTCTCACATAGAGGGACTTCAACTTCTCTTCCAGAGTCCAGTTCAATTTCCCAATCTGAGCTATCTCTTCTTCCTTCATCCTCAACCTCTTTATCGTCCCCACTTCAATTGCCTCTAAAATCATCTTCTCTTGCTTTTTCTACTTCTCATCCAAGACCACCCTCATGTTTTCCATCTGTAACCGATTCCCTATTCCACAAGAAGGGACGATAAAGCAATGGTGAGAGAGAAAGAGATGAAGAGAAACCAAGGGAGAGTAGGGACGCACATCTGATGTGTACGAAGGACAGAGATCTCTCTCTTAATCGTAATTTTTGGCCTCTCCTCATCCTTAGACTGAAAAAAGGAGCTAGGAACAGCCATTAATTCTCCCTTTTTCCAGTGATGTGAGGGAGGAGGTTTTATGTGAAATTCTTTTCCATCTATGTAAAAAATATTACTTACATAGAAAATTTCCTTCCTTCTCTCTTGTCACGTTTGGTAAAGAAAAGAAGAAAATGAAAGGCAAAGGAAACAAACAGAATTTGAATTTTGAATTTAAAGTGAAGAAATGTTAAAATGAGTAGGTATTGACGTGTAACAGGTGTATAAGAAACTAACAGTCTGACACGCAAGCAAAGTAAAAAGAGTGGAAGCTGAAACACTCTTCAAGGAGGCCGAAATATATGATAGATGTGAATAATATTTGCACTTTCTTAGCCAACAAGAGAGAGAAAATTAAAAATGAACTCCATGCAACCTCAGTTAAAAAAAAAAAAAAAGAGAGACGCAGCCCCATGCATGAGCTGGTACTGTTCACATAGGCGTCACTGTTCATAGCACAGTAAAATAAGTGAGAAGCCATTGTGAATAAGAAAATGGCTCAGCTTGACTCTGATTTTTATTTATTATATATATAGGTTTAATACCCATATGTTTTTCTCTCGTAATTGAATTCTTGAATTTTACTTTAGGGGCTAACAGTACTAAAAAGATTAAAGTTACCGGGGGTAATGGTGCGAGCAAAGTAAGAGGATAATTAAGGGGGGGAAATGCTTAGATGCCAAAAAAAAATTGAGGAAAAATAACTCAAATAGTTTTTCTTTGACTTTTTTTTAACTGCAACTCTACACCCCCTTCATCCCCATCATACCCGCAATCAATGGTTAAACCTTGCAATCCCATACTTATGCCAACTGGATTACAAAAGTTTCAGAATTATTGATTGACTGCCAATGGAAACTTCAAAAGTGTTGTTTGTTATATGTGATTGTCGGAGTCTTGGTCTATTATTGAAACCATGTCGAAGGGTTTGATCCGCTGGCCTCTGTTATTTTTTCCACTCGACTCGATCTATCTCATTCTTTTTACTTGTTTTTAACAATTCTGTTTCACCTCAAGATGGGATTTGTCATTTATACGCAAAAATCAATGTAACAATCGGTCCCAATGGACTTCATTTCAGAATTTCCATTCATGCACATTGGTGTCTTTTTTTAATTTCATTTTTGCATGAAATACCTAATATATTGATCCTTAACAGAAAATACAAGTTAAAGAATCAAGATAAGTAGCTACGCTAAGGTTGAAGAATAATATACATGAGATCCATAACTTCTACTGAAAGGGCTTTTAGAGTTCTACGCATAAAACCACATAATCTGCAAAATCAATTGTTTCATGAGAGTTTTCTGTTATTAACATATATAACCTTCAAGGGTTATATATTATGTGATTATGTAAGCTAATTCTAATTGTGTTATTGTAATTCTTAAGTTGTTTAAAGGCCAATAAATAAAATTTATTGACTACATAGTTATACTTCGTTTTGCTGCTCGAATCGCCATGGCTGGGATACAAGTACCAGTGCAAGCTGCTTGCTATATAATGGGATTTAATTGTGAAAGCAGAGCTACAAATTCGGGAAATGTCGTTCATAAGCAAATTATGAAAGAAAATTATCTGATGCATTCACCAAATGCCTTTAAATTCGGGTCATCATTCAGTACTCTTCACAATGATATGCACCATGTGCTCATTATTATAATACAATCCAAACTAATCCAAAATCTGATATGAATGATTTAGATTTAAAACTTTTAATATGCAATTTTTTTCAATAATAAATTTATTTTTGAAACAAGTGTTAGTTATCAAGTTATTTTTATTTTGAATTCTCTATATAAAAATTTAAATTCAATCTAGAGTATCCAAAATGAATTTGGATAGTTTAATCCATCTTTTGGATCCGATACCCTCAAATATTGAACGTAATTGATACTCTCACTTATTCAAAGTTAAGATGCACTGTACGTAAAAGATGCTTCACTCCTGGTTTGAAAAAAGCACAAACAAATGCTTAACTGCTTTATTTGACACTGGAAATGACTGACACAATGAGGGGCTCAAAGATTATTCAGGACCATTATATTAATTTTTTTATGAATAATGTTGTAAATTGAGAGCCAAGCCCAAAAATGGACGGAGAGAACAAATACACAAGGAAGAGTGAATGAAACTATATATTCTGACTCAGGTTATGACTCAAATTTATGAGTCGTTCTACTTTAATTTTATCTCAAAGTAAAATTTTCCGCATCAACTCAATTGTACTCGTATGAACAAATGATGCGAACAAGTTACCGCTAAGAGTAAAAAGACATGCCACTGAAAAAGGAGAGACAGACCTCATAGTTATAGCCAGTTCATACTGTCCCATCTCGATTAGGACCGGACAAAAGCGGGAGAGGATGAGATGGAAGCTGAGACGGGACAAGATAAGATGTGGGACAACCTCATCTCTCTAACTCTCTTGTCCGAAGATATATACGCGCGCATGCACATATATGTATATATTTTAATTTTTGTTATAGATATTTTTGTTTTTCTATTCCATTAATACAAAAAATATAAATATTAAGTTCAAAGAAGTAAACGCAGGTCACGTATTTGAATAAATTTTTAACTAAAGTATATATTTAGTCCTTTAACTTTTTATAAAGTTTTAATTAGGTTCTTCAATTTTAAAAAGTATACTTTTAATTCTTTAACTCTAAAATTTTTTAAAAAAATAATGACATTAAGATCTTAAGTGTTGATAAAATATTCTCAAATGGTAACATATTAAATTTAATTTTCAAAACATTTATAATTTTTACAAAAAATCATTATT